GATCTGTGTGGCAGCAGCAATATACAGTAAATAAATCAATAAATCCACTGCTCTGTTGTCTCCTCTGAGGCTGGGACTCTAAATAGTGTTCTGTGCTCATCTGTGCAGCCAAAGACAGAACAGTTAGCATGTTTTGCTCAAACTTTCGCCATGGCATTAGAACTGGTACACCGTTGTCGCTTGCGAAAACACAGTGGGTGGAAACTTACAGATTAAGGGGTGGTAATATTATAATGAGATCCCTTTGCCCCGTCACCAAGGGAGTGAAATCTGACGCGCTTGTTTTCTCAGACGCTTGCAGAAAAAGGCTTACCAAAACAAAGTTACTGGGTTAATCTTTTTCACGTTTCCTTGGTTGGTAGATGCACCGGAGACCTGATTATAGGACTTAAAACCTGGAAAAGTCAGATTTTCATGATATGTCACCTTTAAGAAAACACTTGCAAACAGAAAAAGCACCAGCAAATTAAGAAAACATCTGCATCAGTTTGACAACACACATGCTGCAAATACTCACATCACAACCAAATACAGAAACACACTGCAAATACAGAAACGCGCTGCAAATGCGCACAACATGACCAAATACAGAAAAGCGTTGCAAATAGCACAGACCACAATGGAAATGTTCCAGGGGGACTCCAACAACCCTTACGAAAATTAACCATGTGGTTACAATTTATGTAACCACACAAATACCATGGTTAAACTATAGTGTAATTTGTGATTACCATGGTTTAACTATAGTAACCATGTGTTTTTACGATAGTAACCATAGTTAATTTTCGTAAGGGAAGTTGTAAAAGTTAGCCATCTTACTTAATGTTTCACAGTTACAATAATTGTGTATTTCGTCAGCTTATTTAGGCTAATAATATAGAAAAAAAGCTAAGGAATCATATGATCAGGATGTTAAAATAAAGTAAAATCTCACCTTTCAGAGCAGACATTGAAAAACTTGTGGTTCCCTTAAATATTTCCGATGTGGTCGGTGCATATTTGCAGTGCGTTTCTGTATTTGGTTGTGTTGTGAGTTTTTGCCGCGCGTTTCTGTATTTGCAGCACGTTTCTGTATTTACAGCACGTTTCTGTATTTGGTTGGTTGTGTTGTGAGTTTTTGCCGCGTGTTTCTGTATTTGGTTGTGTTGTGCGTTTTTGCCACGCGTTTCTGTATTTGGTTGTGTTGTGCGTTTTTGCAGCACGTTTCTATATTTGTAGCGCGTTTCTGTATTTTGTTGTGTTGTGATTATTTGCAGTGCTTGTTTTGTCAAACTAATGAAGATGTTTTCTTAATTTGCTGGTCATTTGCATGTGTTTTTTTCATTTGCATTGTTTGCATATTAAAAATGTTTTCTTGCTCAATTATATCTATGCACATGTTGAAATAGGGAAGGCATGATCTTTACTGTTTTTTTATGACTGAATGAACAACTTCCATAAAATTTATGAGCCATTGGGATTGATGTCATTCAGTCAACAACAGTGATAAAATAGTGACTATAGGTCATTGAAAAAAATATATTCATTAATATATTTATTTATTTACTGTGTAGTTCTGGTTTCCATGTTAACAGTGACTTATTTGATTGGTAGATTTTGCTTCAGAATTATGGTTAGTGTAGTTCTTCACCAGAAATTTGTCTATTATAATTATTTTATATATATATTTTTTAATAATGAAGTAGAAAACACACTGATTATAGCTTCTATAGAATCATCTGCTTCTATAGAAAAACACAAAAGCTCTATATAAACTAGTAATGGTTTTACTACTCTTCATAATTCATCCGGCCTTTGGGAAACATCACAAAGTCCCTAACGTGGATGAACCTACCTTGACTCACATTGTAGTGAATGAAATACTGAAAGTTTGCTGCATAAACTGTGGTACAATTTTGCCCCGAGCCTAATGAATTTAAGGCATGTCCACAGGGACAGTAATATAACCTCATTCCCATTGATAACTTCGTGCTTTCTTGTGCTAATGAAACCTCAGAAAGCCAGATGTCCTCATAATTGAACAGAGCCCTTAAATCAGGGCTGTCCAAACTCGGTCCTGGAGGGCCGGTGTCCTGCAGAGCTTAGCTCCAACTTGCCTCAACACACCTGACTGGAAGTTTCTATGCCTAGTAAGAGCTTGATTAGCTGCTTCAGGTGTGTTTAATTAGGGTTAGAGCTAAACTCTGCAGGACACCGGCCCTCCAGGACCGAGTTTGGACCTGCCTTCAATCTAGTCAAGCTTTGTGTGTCTTTGCTCTCAGAGGAGCATTGGAAAGTATATTCTAGAATAATTCTTGATCCCTGTGGGACTAATAAAGGCCACCAGAGGGGATGGACGATGAGTAGAGACTGATTATGTATTGATTATTGATTATATATTATGTGATATGTTTCCTGAATAAATTCTTAAAGAGTTTATGTGAAAGAGTCATTTTGTGCATCACATATAATCCATCTCAAGACAATCCCATTATTTATGTGTCATACATGATTCAAAAGTTTGAGTCAGTAAGGTTTGTTTGAAAGAAGTCTTTTGTGTTCACAAAGGCTGCATTTATCTGATGAAAAAAATACAGTAAAAACAGTAATATCGTGAAATATTATTACTATTCAAAATAACTATTTTCTATTTGAATACATATTAAAATGTAATTTATTCCTGTGATGCAAAGCTGTATTTTCAGCATCATTACTCCAGTCTTTATTCTCACATGATTCTTCAGAAATAATTGTAATATGCTGATTTGATGCACAAGAAACATTTATTATTATCAGTGTTGAAAACCGTTGTGCTGCTTAAAATTTATATGAAAACCGTGATGCGTTTCTTTTTTGTTTTTCAGGATTCTCAGCACTTTGAAGCTACTCTCCTCATGTGCAGTGTCCCGTGTGCCTTCAAAGGACGCTGCACACAGTATCTGAGGCTTTGTTAACATTGCACCCAATTCCAATTTGTTTTCAGATTTGGTCTTCAGCACTGACAGTCTGCCATTTTGCAATGAAATCGGATCCGATTATTCAGACAAAGTCAGTGATCAATATATCTATATCACATTGTAAAGCAATTTACTAGCAATTCCGGAATAACGAAATAAACATGGAATTTTAAAGTAGAAATACTGAAATAATTTTTAGGTAATTTTGTTAATTTACAACTTCAAAAAATATGTACTTTTTTAATAGTACAGCTGTCATGGCAATGACTATAAAACATGAAAGAGTCTAATTGTCCAGATTTAATCTGGTTTCAAACTTCATATGAATGTGCCTTAGATCAGGTTTGCAAACATATTTCTTTGCTGTGCAATGACTATAAAACATGAAAGAGTCTAATTGTCTAGATTTAATCTGGTTTCAAACTACCTATGAATGTGCTTTACTGTAGATTTGGTTTGAAAACAAATCAAGTTTCTTTGCTTTGCAGACTAAACAATGAAAATGATTTCAGTTGTATAAGTAAAAGTGGTTTTCCCCTACCTGTATGGCTTTTTGTTGAACTATGTTTGTGCGTAGTGTATTTTTATCAATGCACAGAACGACTTTAGTTTTGTGTAAATCTTTCCTAAAATGATTGGTACATAAATTGTAGCCTTGAATTGAATGTAAAATAATATATATATATATATATATATTTTTTTTTTTTACAAATTATTTACATTGAAATAGTGTTTTATGAACAATGTGTTTTGATTCATTCTCATTAAATTATAACATATCTTGTGCTAGCTAAACAAGCTTTTTCTTAACCATTTAGCACTATGCTATACTAGTAGGCTAAACTGTTAGCTTACTAACTGAATGCAAACTTAAAACACAAAGAAAGAGAACTGTTTTTAACTTCTGTCATAATGTGATATTCAAGCGTGAAAAATGCAAGTCTTATCACTTTTTATGTAGGAAATTCCTAAACAACGCAC